GTGTGTGTGTGTGTGTGTGTGTGTGTGTGTGTGTGTGTGTGTGTGTGTGTGTGTGTGTACATATATGTGTGTTAAAATTGTATACATACATATAGATTTCTAAGTATTATATTTACGTATATGTACAAAATCATGATCAGATGAAACTCAAATCAGCACAAAATCAAACACAGAGATATGTCCAACTACCAAGCCTAAAGGAAAAGCAAAGTTTATTGGCACTAGCAAAGAAGAAAGAGAAATGGCATTAGCATATATAGAACGTATTAAGAAGAAGGGTAATCCTACAGGGAACAATCTTCAATGTCGCATTTGCGACCCCCCTCGTAGTTTCACAGCGCCTACAACTTTAGTGTCTCATTATCGAAGTCACGCTGGAATAAAACCATACGAGTGTCGGATATGTAAAGCTGTTTTTACGAGAAGGCACAGTTTGAAATATCATACATTAATTCATCAAAATCAGACTCGTTTTACATGTACAGATTGCGGAAAAAAGTTTAGGCATCCATCTCATTTTAGAGAACATCAACGTAGGCATACTGGAGAAGCACCATTCGGATGTGATGATTGTGGACAACGGTTAGTAAAATTATTGTTGAAAGATATATTTATAATATATAAATATATATAAATAATATTATGTTAATTTTATTTTATACAAATATTTATGTTTCATTTTTATAAATAAGTTTAAATAAAATTAAACTACACATAGATACACATAAATTAGTAAATTTAAATTAAACAAAAATCTTTGTCTTTTTGATCTCTTAAAAAAAAAGAAGACAATTAATATTAATAATTTTGATCGTATAATTTTGATCGTATTAATATTCTACTTTTTATGCTAGGTTTAAAACCAGAAATACTTATAAACGTCATTTAAAAACACGACATAATAAAATCCTTACTACATTTGGTGAAGTTTTACATCCTCCACAAGAAGAATATCAAAATGTTCGAATTAATCGAAAAAAGAAAGATGATTCTCCAAAAGCTACAATAAATATCAATAACATCGCATCCAATGCAATAGTAAGGTTTGAAAACCATGACGAAACGCAAGTTACTACAAATACAACAGAAGAATATGTTCTAAAAGATGGTATTGATAGTAACAGAAACTGGGAAACAAATGATATAATACAAATTGATAAATTTGAGAGTTTTGAGATTTGTTCGGAATCTCAATTGAATAAGACTGATGGTATAGAGACTGAAATAGCTATAGAGTGTAAATACCCCGATAGGAAGAACAGCAATGTGGAATGTATTGATAGTATAGAGGATGGCCTGCTGCAATTAAAAAATTCTTTTTACGATAATTTAAGAGTAACTGATAATGAAGAGAATCATGTTTGTCAACATAATATCGAGAATCAAGATTATGAATGTAATAATGAAATAAAATGTAAAGTCAATTCTAAAAGTGAAACATCAAAAGAAGAAATACAAAAAGATGAGGAAGTAATTGATGAAATAAATACAGATTTTCCAGAAAAACAAGGTAAAAGCAACTTGCAATTGTTGCAAGAAACGCACGATTATCATAAGAAGATATTCAATAGTGACGTACAAGACAAAAACATAACATATTTAAAAATAGCGCAAACAGAAGCTACAAATTCCAATGAAAATGATCAAAAATATGATGAAAAATATGTCATTATACAGAATGATGTCACGAATGAAAATCCTACTAATGCATATAATCCTAAATATGCAAATAATATTGATATTGAAAATAAAGAATATCCGGGAAATAACATCTTCTGTGCACAGGTTGTATATGAAAATATTAATATTTTGCAAGCATTCAATGAAGCTAGTGAAGAGATTATTCTAGAAAATCAAAATAACGTATTGCAAGAAAGCGAATGTATAACTCAATCTGTTGCGACTGATGTGGTAGAAATATTAAATGTTTCTTCAAAAGAGAGTAGAGAAACAAATCAAGAAACCAATCAACGACAAAGTCATCAGTATTTATACGTCCGTTCCGAACAGTTAAGTACATTAATTGCTCAGAATAAATACGTAACTATACCGCTACATCAAATCAAGTTGTGTCGCAATCATGGATTGCAAGCGAAAGTGGACAATCACCGATCGATATATATCATAAATGAGGATATACAAACAATTATAAAGCAATCTGAGAAACAAAATACGATTTTAATTTTATCTAGTGATATCTGCAAGAACAGCATTTTTCAAATTGACAAAAATAGTATTATTGTCAAAGCTCTAAAGAGATAGATTATCGTAAATTATAAATAAGATTATCGTGCAAAGTAAAAATAATATTTGTATAAATAAGATACGTAAAGTTTAATGTTGATCACGTTCAAAATATATTTTGTAACATAGCAATGCGCTAATACGGTCGATCGTACATATGCAATAATTGTTGTAACATAAAATAATCTTAGAAAGAAGAAATAACATAATATAACGCTGCATATTCTTGCTTAAATATCTAGAGAACAAAACCAAATAGATGTAATCGTGTGTCTCATTTTTATTACGATATAATTAACTGAAGGTATATAGTTTATATATTTATAAAAAAAAAAAATATATATA